TTCACAAGTACTCACTTTCTTCCTCTTGTCTGCTCTTTCCTCCACTTCCTCTGCCTCAGACTCCACCAGCTGCAATCAACAATCAACAATTACTATACCATTCCAAAAGTGGCACAAATGGTCAGCATTTTATCACCGGTACATCCGTGCTGGGAAAATTCAGTTAGAGAAAGTATTTCACAAGTACTCACTTTCTTCCTGTTCTTGCTCTTGTCTGCTCCTTCTTGTTCTGCCTGAGACCCCATCTTGCTGCCCCTTCTTGACCTGGTTATACCACCAGTACTGGTACCTGCCTTGGGAGTGCTACCATGTCCTGATTCTTCGGGCTGCAATCAACAATACGCATATATCCGTGCTGGGAGATAAACTATGATGCTTTATAAACGTGATATATGTCACTGTCCCATATTTTAGACCGGTGATACATGCCTGTTGTGCCGCTTGGTAGGCCTTTTTGAGTGCAGACTTAAGGTGACTTTACTGTGCGACAGGAGTCCTCTTTCAAATATAATTTATTACAGGCTGAGAGGTACGTGTTTGCAGCCATGACATGTCCACTGGCCCACGGTTGCTCTTGCGAATGTTCTGGTTGTGCATATGTAGCCAATTCAGCTAGTACACGCTTTTGCTGGAAATGTAACCAGATCTCACTGACTATGCAGTCACAGACAAGTGTATCGTAATAAACTGTTTAGTTCTATACTAACCCATGCACCATCATCATCATCACTATCATCCGGTTTTAGTTTATCCAGGCCTAAATTAATCCTTTCCCGAGTGTGGGGCCTGTCTGACTTGTCGTCGTCAAATGTGACTATGTCGTCGTCTATGAACTTGTAAAATCTGTGCATCTTAATCAGGCGGGATACCAATAATGAATTCAACGAATTATCAACCTGTACCTGCATTATTTTTGCGGGGCGCACATTCAATTTAGTCCATGAGTCACGGTTGATGAAGCTTCTCTGCATGCCGGGGACCATTCTCAGACGGTTCTTGTCTCGCCTGTCCACTTTACGTTCGTACATATCCTTGATGGCCTTCCACCCAAATGATATTTGATGTTTGGTGTAATGCGGTTGAAAGTTTCTTCATCTAGTTCAAAGCATGTTTTGTAATGGAGCTTACTGAGCATCTCCTCCATAGCAGCATTAAGGATGCCATTTTCACCCAAAATTTTGTACTATACTGCCTCATCCAAGACTCAAATCTGGCCTAGCCCGAACTCGTTAATGAGTAGTGTGATGGTGTTCAGTGGCTCACCTTTGTGTTCAGGGAGATCGGCGTCCTTAGGTGCGATTCTAAGCCACCACCCAGATGTTGAGTCGTACAGTTCATCAATGTTGTACTCTTTTTGATGTAGATTTGCCGCAGCAGAAAAGGTGTTAGATAAAATGGGCTTTTCGTGCAAGCGCTTGTGTTTAGATAATTTCCGTTATTTTAGCTGGGGCAAATGCAGATTCTACATGGGTTCTCTTCTCTGCTAACCTAAGTGATCGCCTCGGGGAAACGGTTGAGGGCAGGACGACAGATTTCTTTGGAGGTTTTCTTTTAAATTCGTACCCATGGTCGTGAGAGACGTTATCTGCCATATTAATCTCTCAGGAATAAGCACAGAAAGGCAATTTTTAAATGAACGTTATTGATAATGTGATTGTGAGTCAATTAGCTGATTAAAACTGCACTATGTGGTATGGTATTGCCAACTACCTAGATGCCAATCACTGCTTCTCTTTCTACTATTCCATATTGTAATTATCTTTCTTCTTCCTTGGTTTAGACATGTTAACTTTTGAAGACGATATTTAAATAGACGAAGGTAAATGCAGCCAAGCGCACGGTAATGTGTACGTGTGGTGATCGTGTTTGTGGCCACCTAACAACGGTTGCTATGCCTCCCCCCATACACACAACGTCTCGTCACACATACGCAGACACAGCTACTTAGTACACAAGCGCAGGTAATCAAGTACATTAAACCCCTATCGGGGCACGAATGATTTGGAAACAGTCTGTTGCTAAATATTGTGGCGCCACTATAGCTTCAAATTTTGGCTCAACACCTCTACACAATAGCGGTAAATTGTGCGAATTCAGCTCGTGCAAGATTACGATTTACAGCAATACGCTAGCAAATATATGTAAACGAATATCAGTACCACCTCACGCTGCAGGCTGACAGGGGCAGCTGGTGCAGGTGTCTGTGGCTGGGATTTTATCCCAGTTTTCCTGGGCGTTTTTTTATATTTTGTCCAGCGGTAGGCGGGACTTGGTTGGGTCTCTGATGTACTTGCGAGCTCCGCTTGGATTGCAGCAATGACTTCAATCAAAGAAGCTTGAAAGCCTTCATTACAACATTTTTAGATAGGAACATGTCCATTTCGTAAATCAGTCTTTATTCAATACAGATTACAAATGATGGGACTTAATCTGAAACCAATAGACAAGAGAGTTACATTGTGGTATATTATTGTCTATCTCCCCCAAGTCTTTGGTATGTTTTTATTTAGAGAGAGGTGCCAATGACTGACTGATTAAAAGTAACACATGAAACGAAAGCATAAATCTTCAGAGTGATTTCTTTACCATACTTATGGTGAATAACTCAATGTTTGATTAGGAGCACTTGTCCATAAGAAATTAATGTTAAAAATTAACAGATAAAGTTTATGATGTGTCTGTCACAAATACAACACTATTTTGTGATATCATAGTTGCCCGATGTCTGCCAGGCAGGTTGTCGTCTGATGCGTGTCGCGGTTCTGGTCGGTGCAGTAGGATTGTCCGGCAGCGTTACTGTGTCCGGCAGCGTTACTGTGTCCGGCTGTGTACAGGGCTTATTGGGTGATGCCCGAGGAGACAGTTGCTTAATATATATATATACGCCTAGTGAGTGCCCGAAACGGGCATTACACAGAATAATAATGTAGTACAAATATCTATCGCTATAAAGTTCATAGATCATCTTTTGTTCAAATTCTTTAGTCTTCGTTCACTTTTTCTTTTATGTTCATACTGTTTGATTCACTTTATGTTGAAGCATTCACAAGTTGTATGCACAAGACCTCTCCACTCCCGTCTGTTGTCTACAACATTCCTCCACTGATCAAGAATATTACCACACCTCAGAGCACTTTTGCAGGTATCCTTATATCTCAATTTAGGACAACCAACAGATTGGGATCCATTTGCTAGCTCGCTGAATAAGAGTGCCTTTGCTAGTCTGTCATTATCCATTCTACAGATGTGGCCAAGCCAACGCAGACGACTTCTAACTAGCTTCAACTCGATGTCTTCAACACCTGCTCTGTTCAGGACCTCCTCGTTACTGATGTAATGATCCCATTTAATATGCATGATTAAGCGCAGGTGACGTTGTTGTATTGTTCGCAGTTGTCGAACTTGATGATGGTACAGAGTCCAGGTTTCACTCCCGTACATCAGAAGTGGCATAAGACACTGGTTGTAGACTTTGACTTTAGTGTTTATTGTAAGGTCACGTGAGTTGATCACTCTTTGACGTAGTCGACCAAAAGCACATGATGTTGCTTGGATACGAGCTGCAAGTTCCTCCTTCATAGAGCAGTCATTTGTAACATAGCTGCCAAGGTATTTGAAGCGGGTGACGTTCTCCAACTTGGTGTCAGCTATGAAGAACTCAGCTTCAGTACCAATGCACATGGTCTCTGTCTTTGCAGTGTTAATACGTAGTCCCATTTTTTTAGCAAGGTCGTTGTAAGCTGTGAGTAACAACTGTAGTCCCGCTGAAGTGTCACTGAATATGGTTATATTGTCTGCATATTGAGCCTCCGTGATGTACTCGGTAAGAACTTTGGTCTTTGACTTCAGTCTTCGAAGATCAAAGAGATCACCATCATAGCGAAATCTGACCTTTACACTGCAAGTGTGCTTGATTTCCTTATAACCAAAACAAAGCAAAACAGCTGCATAGAAGCCATAGAGTGTTGGTGCTAATTTACCACCCTGCTTGACACCACTTGTACTCAAAGGCCTGTGTGAGTTCACCATCTACAATGAGCCTTGCATGCACGTTCGTATATAGCTTCTTGATGATTCTTATGAACTTTGGTGGGCAGCCCAGCTCACTCAGGATGATAAAGAACAGCTCACGATTGACGGTGTCAAACGCTTTAGTGAAGTCCACAAAAGCTATATACAAACTGCGCTGTTCTCTCGTTTTCTCCATTACTTGTCGAAGGGTGAAGATTCCATCCACAGTACTTTTGCCCCTCCGGTACCCTGACTGAGATTGCGGGTATATCTTCTCTGCAAAGTGACGTAGTCTCTGCAAGTTAGTTTAGTTAAGGGACCTGACTAATACCACACAAACACGTTGTTCATGTGTTGGAATTATGTTGTACTGTTTTTTTATCAAACAACACAGTTCAACACAGCATAGCCAGATTAGTTATTCATTTGATGAATAGGTTCTTGATAAGAGCGATTACTGTGATTTCAGTAAAGGAATCGGTCTCTATAGTTGTACAACATGTTTTTAAACAATTACTAGTTAGGCGTCAATGTGATATTACAGGATGCTTATGTTATACCTCTTGTAAATTGTTAATACCTGTTATGTTTCAAAACAAATCCTGTATTTGTGTTTATTTAATGCATTGAAAAATATTATCTTGTGTTGATTACATTGTATCAGATTCATCTTGTTTCAAAATTGCATTCAGACAAAAGTTGGCATCATCATGCAGCTCTTTTAAAAATCTCTCCATGTCACAACTGTTATTAAATGTAAAGGCGGCTTTGTTAGCTAGGTCAACATCAGAACTAGATGTAGTGTCAGTGCTCTGCTCACACAGTGCTCACACAGTGCAGTGCAGGAACAGTCACGTTTCCTTTTAACGTTTTGCTATTCTTCCTGATACAAACAATCCCTTGATGAATTGTTTGACACAATTCAGTTTTCTTTATGGTCATCTGAAAATATAATTTTTTGATGCAATTACTTTCGTTTTTGTTAGATAATGCTTTCATTTTCGGCACTGATAGTTTGCAGCTACATGCACTAACAAAATGTATGTAAATAAATAAATAAAGTTTTTGGCAGGTTGTTATTTTGTTACAGTCAACCTCAGATATATTGTATCAGTCTGGACCAGACCGACCATTATTTTCCAAAATAAGCTTTATCCTTTACATGCGTTTCCGTGCATATGATGCACTTTTCCGCATTCCGTGTTTTTTAATTGTTTTATAACGGCACATTAATCTTAATGTGGTCCAATAAAAAAATGATAATTAAGATGTTTCGTTGCTTATAAGTAAATGCAGAGCATCATATACGTGGAATTACACAGCATTAGTGCTTGCGGCGCTTGCATCCGGCTATTGAGCGACTAATCTCTTCGTAGAGGTCAGGATACAACTCTGTCATCTGATTTCACCCACGGCTCCCTCGCAAGTGACCCAAGTGGCTACAACGAATAAGAAAAATCCATCGTTACATCGGAAACCCAACAGACACCAAGTGCTCATTATGGGAAACAATGTCTTTATTGATTGCGAGTGTTTGTTTACGTTGAAAATGAATTTTGCCAGAACTATTCAAGGTGACGCGGTCACCTCACTCACCTCTTGATAAAGTCGATGCACTGGTCTTAATGAATATTAAAATATGGTAGTTAACGTTGTTATTTTGTGTGTATGATGTATCTTTAGCGTGTCTTGTG